AAGTCTCTCAGATATAGTTCTACTTGGTGATATTGAAACAAATCTAAGGAGCCTTGAAACTACTAAACCACGTATCCTGATTTTAGACTCCCTGTGACACTTAATTTTTTAAACGGAAAACTACTTAAATCAGCTCTTGAAAACTTCCGTGATTGTTCTTCTCAAGGCGAAGAAAAATCTGTGCAAACTTCAAGGAATGATATTGATTTGTTCTTCTTCAAAAAAATAAAATGGGAGCGGAGATTTTTAAACGCCGTAAACGAGATACGTGGTCTGACAGCTTCACCATCGATGTATCTTAAAGATCCCGCGATGATAGTCTACGCAAGGAAATCGGTTGGAGAAAAAGTTAAATCGGAAGTCAACGCTACTTTCGCCCAATGCTGATTGGACTACATTTTGTAATTAGGAACTACAAGTTCCAGCTCACGCTATAAACAACGTATGTGCCCTTAGTTTACATTTGCAGATAAGTGATTTTATAAATGAGTTAGATTTTATAGTTTCTAATTGCAAAATGTAGTTCAAGTGATATGCAACTTGTTGAGTGAAAAATCAAATGAAATTCGTATAATGATGAACGTCAGAGTGAACATTAGTCCGGCATTTTCAAATGAGGTTTTTCCCTCCATGCAGATGGGTGGTTTTACGAATGAGACAGAAATGATAGTCCCACCTTGTAAAATGTAGTCTAATTTGCCCAAAAACAATATATTTTAGGAACCGCACCCTGCCATCTTCTAACTGGAGTAAAAGTTACTCTTGGAGTCAATGCTCAACTTCATGTAATGGCGACTAAAAATCAAAGAGTTGTGCATCTGGTTTAGCGATTTGCTGCATCCAAAACGAGGCAGAAATAGTTATTTAATTAATCAATAATTCAAAATTTCATCAGTGACGTTTAAAAAATTCGATAAGTACACACACACCGAAAAAAAAGTGAAGTTCATTTAACATTCTGGATGTAGAAAAAGTGTGCGAGGAATTATAAAATGCTGAATTCACCCGCTCCAGCAGTTACTTTAGCAATGTCAGGATGTAAAACTAACTGCTGTGGCGGGCAATTCAGCATTTTATAATTTCTCGTGCACTTTTTTACACCCAGAATGTTAAATCAACTTCACTTTTTTTCGGTGCGTTTTTTTCATGTTTTATCAGCCAACTTCAGACTTGTTCAACTCTTGATTGTACTTGGATGTTGTACAGTTAATAGGACCTCGTTATTCATTTATTTAATTTGTAGCTTCATTCATAACAGACCAATCTTCACGTCGAACATATTAATTTTGGACATCTCTGATGGGTGGAGATTGTGACATGATTTTCGTCAATGGAGATGTTGCATGTGTGAGGGATTTGCGATTTGACCATTGATTCTGATGTAAAAGTTCGCGAGAAACACGATGGTGCCACTGGTTTTCTCTGAAATCAACTCCCAAGCTCGAAAAAAGCTCTCAAGTTGAGGCCAAAATGGAGGAGATATCCCTTCCTACCCTGAGAGTCCACCTCTACATCAAAACAAACTCTTCATGCAAAGATAGGGAGCAAATACTCGTGCATTAGCAGGGTTGCCGTGTTTTCAGTTTTGGAGTCCCCAAATGAAGTGGCAGCCCTGTCAGTGTATTTGCTCCCTATCTTTGCATGGAGAATTTTTTTTTATGTAGAGGTGGACTCTCAGGGTAGGGCGAGATATCCCCTCCATTTTGGCCTCACTTTCAGAGCTGTTTTGCGCTTGGGAGTTGATTTCAGAGAAAACCAGTGGCACCATCGTGTTTCTCGCGAACTTTTACATAAGAAACAACAGTCAAAACGCAAATCCCTCACACATGCAATATCTCCATTCAGAGGAACAAGGAAATCGATCCATCGAAGGCTCATTCAACGTACGAGTGCTCCTCCTCTCTAGCTTTCGTGCATCGAGCTTCAAAGTTCATCAACGTCACGATAAAATATCACAACCTTCCGAACGGAATCGCTAGTTATTCTCAGAATTGAGTATTCAACTTAACAACCTCGCGTTCCTCTCCTACAAACCATTCTCGGAATTTCCTCCGCCATCGCGTTTCACCTCATTTTTTCATCTCCACTTTTCTACTTCTCGGCGTCAATAATTATTCATTGATTTCAAGCATTTGTTCTCGATATTAATGACACTTAAATTAATGGTACCCCTCGCTCCAATCTTCGTAATGACGCCTTTTGAATGAAAGCTCAAAAGACATCGTTGCACTTCGAAAGTCTGAAAGACGTTGCTTCGGGTTTGATCTTCTATTCCGCGGAAGAAAAGGAAATTGGTTCGAAAAGCATTGGCATTCCCGTGAAGTCTGACTTGTAGCTCCAATTCAACGTCATTTGTATGAGGTAAATGTAAAATTCTCACTGGATTTTGCCACTACAATTTGAGCATCTAAAATTTTGGTAAGGATTGATTTCCGAACTTCATGTGAATAATTCTTATTACTCTGACTTAGGCTGAGTTTCATATGGATGTATTTATGCTTAAAAAACTATATTGTACGGAAACCCTATGTAAAAAGTTCTTAATTGCACACATACGTCCATATTATTCAACCCTTACGGCGATTAACAATACTTCGAGGTGCTTAAGCTAGACTAGTCGTTTCCAATGCAACGCCTTCCTTTCCTCAATTCATCGTTTCCCGGACGAAGAAACGTAACTGCATTTCAATGTTGCCGCATTTCTCCTCATAAATTGCATTTTTACAAGGAGAATTTTGGAATTTTCTAGCTAGAAGTTTTACTGATTTTTCTTACACAAATATCACAAAAAAACTGGGCAAAATTATACAGGTACATTCATGTAAAGTACTCGCTTGAGTAATTTACAAAAATTGTTTGAGTCAATTTGGCAACCTCGGAATGGAGTTACGTCCTTTCGTGATTGAAACGATCGATTGTGTGTCAATTCCATCGATAAAAGATCACGGTTATGTAAGAAAATATGAAATTTTTCGAGTCAATTTTACAAACTTTGAGTAGAGTTACGTTCCTTCATCTGGAAAACGACGAATTTTGCCTCCCAGACCGTGTGCAATGTTTCAGCAACAAAAACTAATTACGCTATGTTACTTTTTCTTGATGAGACAGCGAGTTCTCAAAAAATACAAATTTATTTTTTATTTTATTTTGTAGGTACCGATGTTTACGCCGCCTTGTTTTAGAATGCATTTCTGTTCAGCAAATACAATCCTGTGCGGTTTGAAGGATAAAAAAGAGCTCCTCAGCAAAATCAACAGTGCAACTGACATCTCGTCTTCTTCAAAAGCCTGAGACGGGATATTTCCGAACTGAGGCCCTGCAGATCTACCTAAAAGAGATAAAAGGATAATCACGCTGTGCCGTGCTAAGAAAGAACGCCGTATGAACATCCGAGAGTTGCCAAATTTTCCTTGATGAAATATGTATTTTTGACAACATTCGTGCATATTTTTCCTTGAAATTTTCAAACATTTTACATTAAATTGCGGATAGAATTGTCTGAAAATTTTGGAAAATAATATTCACAATTTTCCCAGTAATTTCAGTTTTAATCGGAAGAAACTTGGCAACATCATAAGACTCATACAACGTTCTTCCTTAGCACGGCAGCTGCTCGTATACGCTCGCAGGGACATCAAATAAAAAATGCAGCTCAAACGAAACTGTAAATTATACACTCGCTCACGTATTTTGGCTGTCTCTGAGAGACTTTCTGTCGGAGAGAGGCCCGGCTTTCGTTAGTAATAACCTCTCCTGCCTGCCCAAAAACATCATTACCTATCCTTCACCTTTCCTCCTGCCAGGAACATAAGTTATTCGAGAGGATTTTTCGTTCTTTGGCTATGTTGCCGAACGGGATGCCAAAATTGGATAGGTGTGCGGAAAAAACACGATAACGTGGTCGATGACGTCATAAATGGAAGCCTGTGAGAATGACCAATCAGAATCAACAAAATTCGGCCTGTGTCTATGAAGGTAAACTCTATACTTGGAAGGCGGAAGAAAATTCATGCTGGAAAGTCAATGATGAAAAATGTGTGTCGGAAGAATCAACTATCCCCATAAAAAGCACGAAACCCCTAACGAGTAATGGCGATTAACCGTGTCTTGAGTGGTTTAGGTCAGCTTGAGCCCCGGCCACTCCGTCATAATCTTCCTCTAAACTCTGCTGCATCCCTGTCTGACACATGTAACCCATGGCAACCATTCAGATAAGTATTTCCTCAAGACTCACGCTGTGGCCAGATCTCCCACTCGTGGTGGGGTCCGATCAGAAGATCTCCGAAATTTCTCATTAAATCCGACAACAGCGCGGCTTACACGCTCCAATGGTAAGCTGCTTACGGGGCTGTGAGCGAAATCAAGCTTCGCCCTCGTCCACAGGTCAGTAAAGTCCATGCTTTCGGAGCTTCGTCGCATCGGATCAGCGATACCCCCCCCCCATACCCCCACACCCAATCCGTGGCGTTTACTCCTCCGCATGATGTGATTTCCTTTGAGAGCCGGGTTTTTATCACACGTCCGAAAACATTCGAGATTCCCGGAGGCTGGAGAGGGAGAAAGGGGGGAGGGCGTCCGATTATTTCTGGAATCGATTTTGACGATCGAAATTTACTAATCCATGGAAGGAATCTTGACATTTCTCTGCTGGAAAAAACGGCGCACAAATCGATCAAATCAAGAAGAGCTATGATGCGCGTAAACCGTATGTACACAGTTCCTTGACTACCGTGCTAAGCTAAAACGACGTATGCGCCATCAAGCGTTGCCACATTTCCCTCGGCAAATCATGAATTTTCCTGAAAATTAGAGAACGTTTCTCGTCCAATTCTTCACAGGATTTCGTTCATAATTTGAATTATAAATTCTGAATATTTCAAGGAAAAATACTCAAATGTTTCCTGAAAGGGTATTTGGCAACATTTGAATAGTCACACGGCGTTGTTAGTTAACCAGGCAGTTTGGAATAACAATTTTATAAAAAGGGTGATCTAACTCACCTCGGGCGTTGTCGAAAGGGATTGCAACATCACTTTGATTTACAGTTAATCATCTGGAATCAAAAAATAAATAGGTTCTAAAATAATGACATACTTAATGTATCAATAAGAGAAAAAGGTAAAACGAAGAAAAGAGACAGAAACAGAGAAAAATATAGTCATTTACACTTTTTTTTCAAGAACGAGCATACGTTCGTTCTGACTGAACTCTCCGAGACGAAACCGTGTGAAGCTATGTGCATATTTTCCATTCTCTAAAATCTCTTAATGTTGAAACCTCTTTTAATCAAGGTCAGTTGCGCTAGATACCCGTATAGAAAATCTTGCACAACGAGATGGAGGCATTAATTTTGCACATTTTTTCTGAGTCCAAAGGCCTCAGCGGCTGAGGGAAATTGACCCAAGTTACGATCGCCAAGGCGCGAAATCGATAACTATTCGTGCATCAATGCGTGTATTTCGGTATATCCATTAATTTGAAGGCGAATTTTTTGTCAGTTCACACAAACGACACCTTGATTTTTGTATCGAATAATCAACATGGTAGTAGCACTGAAACGATGACATTTTGGATTTCATTCTTATTGTTCCTGTCTCATAGCACGATTTTATACCGCTCTTATTGAGATGTCTCCCATGTTTAAATAATTTAATCCACCTCTTTTTATTTCATTTTTCTCGTGGAACATGCCTCATGGCTCTCCGAGGCATTGTCTCATTTGCCTCCTCAGGTGAGCTATCCCTCTCGACCAATTAATATTAAATTATATTTACTCCAGGTTATTTTGTCAAATTAATTAAAACAACACAAGTAAAATTAAAACGAAGAAAGAAAAGAAACTGTTCCAGAGAATAAACACGATGATACAAAGTCATTCAAGAAACCTCTGCAGACAAGAGGCGAAAGATCACTTCGTAACTGGAGTAATCGTTCAGACATCATGCTGACAGGAGACTGAAAAGGCAAAAGGCGGAAAAGAAGATTCTTAATGTGCAATGAGGGATGGGGAAAGTTATACTCCAACCCACCCCCTAGACCCATTTCAACCCTTATGAGTGACGTTGTCGTATACTGCATCTTAAAATTCAATAGACTCTGAACAAGGTGAAATACAGATGCCTGGTGTAGGCTTTTCAGTATATTTATTTGTATAACTTTTTCTTCTTTTAATATTACCAGGAGAAAATTTTTCTAAACAAGGATAATTGTAGTCGTATTGAACCAGAACCAACATTACCGTCCAAAAACTCTTGTACATCTTTTCAAACCTACGGAAGGATAGGAATATCATGAACGTGCATTGCACCGGGAAACCACTTCCAGCGCTTCAATCACGCTGTAATGTATTAAAAATTGCAAATCTAATCTCAAAATTACCAATATGGAGACATTTTCTCTAAGTCCAGGCTTGAGAATAGACAGTTTTGTTCCTTAGCCATTGACTTGAAAGAGCTTCATTCTTCAGAGAGGCAGTGCTCTCCCAGCATATGTACAAGGAAAGCTCCTTACAATTTGAAGATTAACTTTTGATCGATTGATTGTTGAATATGTAAACAAAACATTTAAAAAAATGGAATTACTGGACTCAAGTGGCGTCAAGGACGCAACCCTTAATAATTTGCGGCCGGACCGGGCTCCAATTAACGGCGTTTGAGTAATCGTGGATTTGACCCATATGCCGCTCGAAAGCGAGACGCATGAATAATGAAACGCCTGCATCAGTGCCGAAGCGTGAATGATCGATTATCGATATATCCGCATTTGAAGCTATAGTAAAGAATCGATTTTTGAGATATATCCTGTCTATCGATCTTTTCTCATAGGTTTAAATGGCAGAGCAATCGATGTATCGCAAAGCACGGGCTGCATTATTCACAGAGCCCGTTTCATCCCATTTCGAGCACGGGCAGTCCCGATCGAGGACTTTGATCCGCCGCGACCGCCGGAAAAAAGAATAACTTTGAAAATTACCACGCACCGTCGGATTTTAAAATACTTCGCCGACCGTGAACCCCTCCGCGACGTATAGCCAATTCTGCCGCGCTGAGGAAAAACGTCGTCTGACCATTCCAGTGTTGCCAAATTTCCTCCAGGAAGTATTTATTTTTGAAGAAAGTTATGAATATTTTCCCTTGAAATTTTTAGATGTTTTAGATTAAAAAACGAGCGAAAATCTCTGAAAAATCGAAGGAGAAAGACTCGCGAATTTTCCAGAAAATTCGTAGTTTATGAATGGAAATTTGGCAACGGCTGAAGGTTCATACGGTGTTTTTACTTAGTACGGTAGAGTTCGGAGCCGTCATGTTTCGCCGGGTGGCCCTTGCACTCTACTCTGTGTACCTACACGAACGAATGATGTTGCTCTGAAAAAAAAACCCTCGACCTGTGAGCTGTAATTGAATTTCTTGCTTCGAAAATTGCTCGACTCGGTAAAAATAAAAATGAAGCAGTGTGCATGGTTAGTTGGCGAATACCATAGGCGGATCCAAAAACTTCGAACGGGGAGAGGGATTCCTACCCTGAGGAACCCACCCCAAAACCTTTTTCGGCGACCTGGTATCGGATGAAATGGTAAATAGGGTGAAAAATTAAGCACTACGACACCATGTTTCCTCATCAAACTTTCACGTGACACACGGTGGAAACGTCAAAAATTCTAGATTCAACTCACAGGTGAGGGTTCAACGTTCCTTGTGTCCATTCAAACTTCTCGCCTGCCAAGAAAACATAAATCTACTCGAATACAATTGGTCGATAAAGTAATGTCAGTATTCTTACATACATTCACTTATTTCTTCATCAATTTTCTCAAAATCCAAAAATCCTCTTGAAAGTTTGGTACTTCATACGCACGGTGTTTAAGCAGAGGTATGATTTTTGTGTAAAGCTGTGACGTGTTACCATTCCCTGATGATTCCTCAGAGCTGTATGAAATTTGGTTCTAGGTCGAGCGTGTTACCACCAAAGACGCTTAGCAGGGCGGATAGGAGGAATTCTCATATCATTTGAAATGGACGTATTTCTGCCGAACGGAACTATGTTCATTATAACATGATCCCTATTATGCATATGTCTTTATGAGTCTCAATGCTCATGTCTTAGTGCACATAGTTCCGTTTGGCAGAAATACGTCCAAATGTTCACGGATGTAATTTTGCACAATTTGAAGGAATTTTAAGACAAGTATTCGAACTTCGGGGAACCAAACTTTTGTTAACTTCCCGCAAATGAATTTTTCCTCCCGTGACTACTTGGAGAAGCGGAGGGAAGAAAGGTTTTGGTTTGAATGATGTCCCTGAGTCATTACGTCACTGCATGCGGCATCTTTTTTTTCGTGTCCCCCCAAAAAATAATTCCAGGCATGCTTCAGAGAAAGTTACTCTAAACACTAGCATCACCTTCAAAACTGTTCCGCGTCGAATTTGTTCTGGTCAGCCCAAACAGTCTACTTCATTAGCATGGGAATAACTGAAATGTATTCTCCTGGTTTGTTGTGGCACTGGATGGCTGTGAACATTCCATCGCGCACTACCTTACTCAGAAGGTATTAGAACGAATGATGGCGAAATATTCTGCCGTGCTAAGGAAGAATGCCGTATGAACATTCGAGAGTTGCCAAATTTCATTTAATTAAATTTTTATTTTTTCGGAACGCTATGAATATTTTACCTTGAAATTTTCAGCAGCTTTAGGTAAAATCTCGAACAAAACTATCGAAAAATTGGAAAGAAAATTTTCACAAGTTTACCAGGATATTTGCGTTTCATCAAAGGAAATTTATCAACGCCTGAAGGTTCATACGGCGTTCTTCCTTAGGACGGCAGAATTTTGGAATGACCGACATTTTATTCGTGGTGGTCGGCAATTAGGCTTGCTTCGAGAGGAATAAAAAAAAAACCTTTTTCAAACAAATAAATAAACTTGAAAGAGAGTATATAAAGAGAAATGAACTTGGGAGATCAGACTGTGTAAACTGCCCGATGGTTTGTGGGAGGATCGATTCCGATGGCGATTTGGAGTCTCAGAGCGCTCTAGTGCGCTGAAGTAGCGGCTTGATATGTATATAATAAACTTGAAAACTGGTGTTTTAAAATGTGCTATATGCCTCATGCGTTTATTTATTGTAATTATTTTTGTTATTTCAAATTATGGAGCGGCCCAATTAAATATGCGTTATTATTATGCGTTTACTTGCTTATTCATTGTAATTTTTTTTTTGGTTTTTTCATATTATGGGCGCAAAGCGCTCGTCTGTTGGGGGTTTGAATGCGTATCGGCTGGGAGAGGATCCCATACCAGTCCTCAGTCCCCTCGGCATTGGCACCGGTGCGAGCCTCGACGCACAATCGAAGCAACACAACTGCTGGGCGCGTCGTTGAGCTTATCAAGGCGTCTCAATACAACTATTCATACTCCATGGATGTCCATGTTGCATACTCAAAAGTTGAAGGCGCTTCGGTCATTCTCGCCCACTCGCACACCGGGCTACACGCCGCTACTTTGCGATCTGAGATGAGTAGCGGTGTCTGTCCTTCATGATTTGTGAAATCGTGTGTTGATTATTGGAATTGATGGACAACACTATAGAGAAGACTAGGAAAGACTGAATGAACCTGTTGTTTGTAACGCGTGGTTGTTATATAGACTAAATGGGAAAACTAAATGGTCTAACTAAATATAAGGCCTCTTGTAATATGCCGTTAGTCAGTTTATTACTTACCTCCTTCGTCCATTTTAAGCACTCGCTTTCACTAATAGGATCATTACATTTTCTCTTTTTCTTCTGTACCGTAGCGCTTTGTCCATACATTTCAAAAATCAGCTCGCAGGTTCATTATGAACCTTTTTGTACGCAAGCAAATCAATGATGTTGAACGAAAAGGTCTCAGGCCTTATTTTCAAGAAATATGACTGATGTGTGATTTTAAGCTCAAAAAGCATGTTACGTTCACCCCCTATAAAAAAGGTAACCCCGAATTACTCATAATTTTCCAAAGACGGGCAGATACATTAATTATCAACACTGAGTGTGATAGAAGAGGAAAGCCTAAA